CGGCTAAAACCGGAAGTGATGCAATTCGCCTACTTCCGTGCGTTCCAGCTTGCCTTCCAGCTGTGCTTTCCACTATGGAATCAGCTTCAAAATAACTTAAGAGTTAACCTCCATTAACTGGAGAGTATATCTAAATGAAAAAGCATAATTAGATCGATCTGATAATTCAGAATAAGACAACCCAGTATATAGTCCCTAAAAGACTATATAACTGATGTTATAGTGTGTGTATATATATTATACATTTATTTTTATATATATATATATATATATATATATATATATATATTATTTCAACATATGTATCTTTTCTGAGCTCCATAAAGCCTATATTCTATCATAACATTCTGAAATGATATCATCTTTACAGAAAAAGATTCAAAGATTAAAATTTTGTAAAAGTTCCTAAGAATCTTCATACATATTTTATAGGACTCTGTGCATTTAGAGGATGATCAGCTGAAATATAATTGGTTTAGACATTATCACTTTAAAATTTAAATACGTGTACAAAATGTAATATTTTAATCTCACCATGTCTAATAAATTAGTACTATAATACTAATATTGGGGTTGCAGGAATCAAACCAAATTTAGCTTAGCCGAAGAGACCTAGTAAAAATTAAAAATGTTACCAGTTGGTAAAAACTATAAAGGTTTGTCACTAAACTGAGAATTGCAATAAAATCCAGTGTAAATCCAAAGTAAAATTCAAATTTGAGAGCAAAGTAGCTGGACTGGACTGATAATGTTTCCAGTTTGCTTATTTTTACCTTGAAATTGAAATTCACTTTAAATTCACTGTGAATTCTTTCAAGCCCTGAAATCCTGTTCTGAATTGACTAATGACACCACCAGAAGTCAAGTTATACCTACAGCAACAATTTAAAATATCTATGCTAAAGTATGTACAGCAATTTAAACTGAAATTTTGCACATACAGACTTGAATCAACATATCCAATTCAAAACATTTAAGTTTTCATGGTGCTTAGATTAACCCTTTAAAACCTCTAAAATGTTAGCTATGAAGTGAGTATGTTTGCTTAAAAAATCCTATAAGAATATTATAGCTAGGGCAGTTGGAATGCAATATGTAGCATTAAGACTGGTGTAATATTAAATTGTTGACGCATATTAGAGCTAGTGATGCACCGAACGGTTCGCTGGCTAATAGTTCCTGGCGAACATAGCATGTTCGCGTTCGCCACGGCGGGCTAACATATGCGCGGTTCGATCCGCCCCCTATTCGTCATCATTGAGTAAACTTTGACCCTGTACCTCACCGTCAGCAGACACATTCCAGCCAATTAGCAGCACACCCTCCCTAGCAGACCCTCCCACCTACTGGACAGCATCCATTTTACATTCATTCTCAAGCTGCATGCTTAGTGAGAGGAGGGAAAGTGTAGCTGCTGTTGATTAGATAGGGAAATGCATAGCTAGGTTAGGGTATACAGTGTCCACTACAGTCCTGAAGGACTCATCTGATCTCTGCTGTAAGGACAGCACCCCAAAAAGCCCTTTTAGGGCTAGAACATCAGTCTGCTTTTTTTTTTTTTTCTGTGTAATGTAATTGCAGTTAGTTGTCTGCCACTGCTGCCAGCTTCTGTGTCAGGCTCACAGTGGATACTGTGCCCATTTGCCCAGTCAGTGCCACCACTCATATCTGGTGTCACAATGGCTTGCATTTAAAAACAAAAAACTTTTTTCACTGTTATAGATTGAATAGCAGTTAGTTGTCTCAAAGCGGGTGTGTCAGCCCTACAGTGTGTACTCTGCCAGTTCACAGTGCCACTCATATCTGGTGTCACAGTAGCTTGCACGCATAGTACCACTAATCAAAAAAAAATGACAGGCAGAGGCAGGCCACCCCTACACTGCGCATTGGGTAAACCTGCTGACGGGTGCCAAGCATGGGATGCGTGGCTCTGCAGAGGAGTTGGTGACACCGCCACGACTTGCAGGCAGGCCTGCTGCCACCTCCTCTACTCCTCGTACTCCATCCTCTTCCATAACCTCCTCGGCGGAGTCCTCTTCTGCTGCTGCGTCTTGCTCCACATCAACGGATAGGGGACGTAACAGGGATTAAACTGATAAGAATAGTACTACTTAACACACCACTCCTATCTGGTGGCACATTAGATTGCACGCGCAGTGCCCCAAATATGAAGTAGGAGGACCGACCAAGCATCTTTTTCCTTCTCCCGGTTCCTAAAATCGATGCCATATACACGTCCCCTGATAGGGGACGTAACAAGCATTAAACTGATAAGAATAATACTACTTAACACACCTTATAATAACGCAGAGAGAGGCAATGCAGAGAGAGGAGTCTGAAGAAGAGGAGTCAGAGGAGGAAGGTGGCTTTGAGGAGGTGGAAGACCAAACAGAGCAGGTGTCCCAGGGGCCTTGTTGTCACCTTTCGGGGACCCTTGGTGTTGTACGTGGCTGGGTGGAGGAAGAGACCTTCAATTACATCAGTGAGGACAAGGAACGGGACATGGTATCCAACCTTGTGCAAATGGGGAGTTTGCGGTTGTGCAAATGGACTGTTTGCGGTTGTTTGCGGTGCATTAAACGGGGAGTTTGGTCTGTCTCTGTGAAGCGGACGTAACCCTTACACTACCTGATCGGGGGGACAGTAAGTCCCCCCTTATCCTTATTTACTGAATATTCCCCTGTATAACAATGTTTGGCATTTAGTGAATATTCCCTATTCTGCTGTGTCAGTGTGTATCAGTGATCCTTAGGATAGGTGTCAATCCATATCTGCCAAGTGACCCTATGTAGGAAAACAGTCTCTATTCTGCTCTGTGTCAGTGTGTATTATGATCTTTGAGGACAGGTGTCAATCCATATCTGCCAAGTGACCCTATGTAGGGGAACAGTCTCTATTCTGCTCTGTGTCAGTGTGTACCATGGTCTCTGAGGACAGGTGTCAATCCATACCTGCCAAGTGACCCTATGTAGGGGGAACAGTCCCTATTCTGCTCTGTGTCAATATGTCATATGTCAGGTATCAATCCATATCCATTGTGATTTAGGAATGTTAGGTCATTTCTGCCCTTTTTTGGATTAAGACCAGACTCTGCATTAACTGTGTAATTTTCCATGGGAGTTTTGCCATGGATCCCCCTCCGGCATGCCACAGTCCAGGTGTTAGTCCCCTTGAAACAACTTTTCCATCACTATTGTGGCCAGAAAGAGTCCCTGTGTGTTTTAAAATTCGCCTGCCCATTGAAGTCTATGGCGGTTCGCCCGGTTCGCCAACATTTGCGGAAGTTCGCGTTCGCCATTCGCGAACCGAAAATTTCGTGTTCACGACATCACTAATTAGAGTCTTAAATGGGTGGTGATTTTAGAGTCATAAACCCCTTTACCATTTTGTGAATGGGAAATATAACTTCTGGTGTTAAGAGACTGTTAGAAAAAGTATGCAATGGTGAAAACAAAGTATTAAACACAATAAAAAAAAAATTAAGATTCTCCATAAGGGCTGAGTCTTAAATGTAACTATGACCGTAGAGGTAAAAAACAACACAAGCATATCAAAATTCTTTCTATGGGGGTTTCACTCATGCTCGATGTCCTCATGCAGAGAGTGGGGACATCCAGCATCATTTAGGCGGCCCAGAGTCCAGGAAACTCCCAGAAGTGACTCTAGTGACTGTAGGCTGTCTTAGTATTACAAAGTATACATTGCAGATTCCATTGCAGGACTACATGTACAGGGACAGGGACACTGCACCCAGACCACTTCAATGAGATGAAGTGGTCTGGGTGCCTATAGTGTCCCTATAATAAGTAGGGTTATGTTTGAAGAAAGATTTTGCAAGCTAATAGGACACTCTGTCTTCGACCTCTAGTTAATTCCTTTTGATATCAGCCTACTTAGTATTATTAGTGCTTAACAAAACACCAGGAAGGAGAAACGGTCTGTATCACATTGCAATTTGTAGTGTAAAGATGCATGATCATTAAATTACATGCAAAGCAAGAAACATCCTAGAAATGTTATTACAGACACGAAGGCTCATATTATGCATTCTCTTTCTATTTTATTCCCTCAACAGCAAAACAATTGAGAGAAAAAAATGATTTAACAAATAACATTATAAATCTGCCTGTGAGCAGGGCAGCCAATCAGGTGTCTATACAAAGGAAACTGTTCTTCCTCTTTCTTGCTGCTCCCTCAGACAGACAAGTATTCATGTATTACACTTTTCTATTCATCGTACATAATTTTGACTTCTACGATTTTGTGGGTTTCACTGGTATATGCCTTGGCAGCCCTCTTTGGGGGGCCAACACTTTGGGGACCTCTCTGAGTTCCCTTTGCCCCCCCACTTGCCTCTGACCCCCCTCCTGTCACCCGTGATCTCCCTTCCTCGCCCGTGGCTTCATGGCCTCATTCGGGAGCTGGCGGTGAACCTGGTGGTCTACCCTCCCTTGGGAGAGCCGCCGTTTTCATTCTGCTCAGCCAGGGGGTTTTCCTGTGCGGCTGGATCCCATAATGTGGCCATTGTGAGGGGAGTAGCTGGATAGGTGGGAAACCCCTTGTGTGGTCTCTCACCTTCCCTCCCTGGCTGATGTCTCCAGGCTCCTCTGGCAGGGCATACACCGGGGACTTTTTAGTGATAACTGTGAGTCCAGGTTAATCAACCCTGTTTTGGTTTTTCTTTAACAGCTTATTAGTGCTAAGGGTTTTTTCCTTGATCTTAGTGAGTAAAGCAGATTTGGGTGTGACAATATAGAAGGGATTGGTATGCCCAGTATTGACCCCTTCCAGCCCCCTAAAGCTGATGACTCGGGGCTGATGGCCTCTGCTGAATTCCAAGCTATCCTGGACACGACTATGGCCACTTCCATCAACAAGGCACTGGCCTCAGCCCTATGTCCTTGTCCTTTTCCCAAACACTGGTGCACGCCCTGTGTCAGGGTCACGATGCCCACCATGTCCCCTCCAATACTAACACTCAAGCCGCCACTGCAGGCGTTATGGTCCGCAAGGTGAAGGCTAAGAATAAACACCTCAGCTACCACTCCTATGATCAGGCTATGCCTAATAAGACGAATCCACCCTCGGTGATCACAGATGGTGTATTACCTCCGTGCAAAAGAGCCAATGGCCGGGCAAAAGTGGCAATATCATGGAAGCGGGCACATGCCCTAGAAAACTGGTCTGACAGCAGAGAGGAAAAGGTTTCCGACATCCCTGACTACGCCTCCTATGACGAGCCTAGGAAGTTCTGACCTCCATGGCACTAGGGTCGGTGACCGCTCCTGGGGATGAGGGGGCGGGTCTCCCGGACCCAGAGGGACAACCCCTATACGATGACTTGCGCTACCTGCTTTCTGCGGAGTGGGAACCGCCCATTCACAAGGAGGGGCGCCAAAAACTTAGAGCTGAATGCCCTCGCCTTATTGTGCCCAATGTGGCTTGTAGTACCCCGGAAGTAGTAGTACCCCAAATTTTAGGGAAAATGGTCTGGAAGCCCAAGAAGAGCTTGCAGTTCTCACTTAAGAATTAACAGGATAATATCCTGGAGGTGACTGGTCCAGCGTCCAAGCTATATAAGCTATTTGAGTCCACCAAGGCAGGATTTTGACATGGCTATTGGGTGGGTACAGCGCCTGATTTGTCTGTTGGGTATTGTCAACAACGCTATGGCGACAGAAAGCCACAAGGCCATATTACTGAAGATTGACCCTAAATTGATCAATATGGCCGTTAACGAGCCTGGTCTGGCTGCAAAGTGCATGCTGTTTGGGGACTCATTCGTTAGGGACCTGGGCATGTTCCCGAAGACTTTCAATGCAATTGACAAGGCACAGACCAATTTGAAACGAGTCTTCGCGCCCAAGGTTTTTGGAGGGAGGCGGGCTACAAAATGAATAAAAGGAATGGAACATATCAGCTATGTAGAAAAGTTAACAAATGAAAACTGTCTCCTGAGAAGGGATATGATAACATTATATTCGGGGCCAATACAAACCATTTTTCTGTTTCAGGTGTGGTAATAAATAGAGCTACAACACAGAGAATGACAGAGGGGGAGGAAACAAAGAATAGGGCATTAGGGTTCGATAAGCATTCTGATAATTACTTTCAGGTACAGTTTTGGTAGATGTACCGAGTCAGGAGCCTTGGGAAGAGTCAGTATTTCCTTACAGCCAGCAAAGTTCCATGTTTTCTATATTCCACACTGAGTTACGGAATCATTTTAACCAATTTTACCAATTAATTACAAGTCCTTGATCTTCCTAACAGCCTGGCAGGTTTTGGCGATATATACAGTTGCGGTATTAATCAAGGTACAAGATTGCTTAATCATTAGGGGACTTTGTTCATTTATGTAGTTACAAGTTTAGGTAGTTTTATTATTTTTGCCCTTTTCTTTCAAGTCTACCCAGTATGTCGGTTGCGCACACCACAACTGACATGCTACTACTGGTATAGCTCAAACTTTAATGTATGCTTCGGCATTTAATTCCCCAGCCACAAATATATAAGTATATATTTATTTATAAACATTTTATATGTATTTGTTTATTATCCAGATGACCTACTGCCAAGCCACAATTGAATTATTTTGGTCACCCAAGTTCAGAAAGCTTTCGGAAAAAAAACCCCAGAGCATTATGGATAAGCCATTAAGTCGCTTCAACAAAGAGTCCAGAAGGAATAGATTGCAAAAGTGAACTACATTTAAGCACTGCTCTACCTGCTGTTATGAATGATACATGAAAACCTTTTCATGGTATCATGGGGTTTGTATTGATGAGCTGCCAGTGTGACTTTCATTGGCTTTGTGTGCACTCTATCAAGACATGGTAAACTCATTTCTTATCTCAGGACACACTTACAGAAAAATGCACAGCATTTCACATCAGTGAAGCACAACTTGTATTTTCTAACTTTATCTCTGTTTGAGTGCTATGTATCTTTTATATTACATGATTATTTAAAAAATTAGCGTTGGAGCTATGTTTCTTTAAGTCATAAAGTCTGCCAAGATTTGTGTGAGCTACATGTCCATACAGTATTTGCAATTTAATTTGAGTTTACTGTACTTGTTCTAGCACCAGTACAATGGGTGCATTTAACAGATTCTGGCCTCATGAACATTCTGTATTTTTTACATGCTCAAATATTTTATAGTTTTTCCACACAATAAAAAAATATATTTTGCACACTCTACCATTAGCCTGCCAATTTAGCCACGCTGCCTCACTCCAGAAAAAGACTTCCTTATGAAATGTATGCATACAGTTGAGCCACTGACACTTTTGAATTATATCAACTACAAAGCAAACTGCATTAGAGGCAGAGGACATCCAAGGAGACAGATATCATTACCTGTTTGTAATTTTCAAGACCATTTTCAGCCAGTTTGTTTGTTAAAAGCCGCTCATGCAGAGCTGTTAGGGCTAAGTTACAGTTAATTAGGAAGTCTTTTTCTGTGCTGAAAGGGTATGGCTAAGTAGTCAGGCTAATAATGTATAAGGCGTATAGCATTCTGCAAAACATTTGCTAAAACTATAAAAAGTTGAGAATGTAAAAATATAGCACATTATTGAGGCCTAAAGCTCAACATAATATTAAAGTTGTACAGGTGCCACGACTGATCTTTGATTGGCAGGCAGCCTGGTGCACATTCACGACGGACTGACCTATTAGTAATTTGGGCAATTGTTCATACTTCTCAATAAGTTTATGGTTAAGCAACCCTGTACTTCTAGTGTCTAGTGCTCTACCTCAGATTTTTCCTTATAACCATCCAGGAGAAAATGAAGAGAGGAGGGTGGCGGACTGAGGGTGTCTTTGTGTTTTTATGTAGCTGTATGTATGTCAGTGTTTGTATCTGTGTCTGTGTATCTGTATGTTTGTCAGTATGTGTGTCTGTGTGTAAGTGTATCTACATGTGTGTTAGTGTGTGTATCAAAGTGCCTGTATATCTGTATTTGTATCTGTATTTGAATATCTGTGTCTGTACATTTGCATGTGTGTCAATGTTTGTATCTGTGTGTCTGTGTTTGTATCAGTGTGTCTGTATTCGTGTCTATGTATCTGTATGTGTGACAGTGTTTGTTTCTGTGTGTCTGTGTATCTGTATGTTTTGTCAGTTTGTATTTATGTATCTGTGTATCTGCATGTGTCAGTGTGTGTATCTGTTTATCTGCAGGTGTATATGTGTGTATGTGTTTTTACTTTACGATTGTATTTTCTCCCAACAACCTTTTGTCTCAATTTCCCTATAGATTGTAAGCTCATGGGCAGTTGTCTTTCCTTTTGTTTCAGTGTGTCTAAACATGAATCCCATGATTTTCATAGTTACCAATGTTAATTTTGCATAGATTGTAAAGAACTATGGATAAGAGCACTATATAAGAACTCTTTAAATAAAAATATAACATTTTCTGGCTTACATCAGAGTTGCAATCCATTGCAAGTGAATGTGAGTTACGTGCAGTTATTAATTACAGGGTTGGACCATATACACTGATCATCCACAACATAAAAAACACCTACCTAATATCATGTAGGTCTCCCTCGTGCTGCCACAACAGGCATAGACTCCACAAAACCGCTGAATGTGTCCTGTGGTATCTGGCACCAAGGCATTGGCAGCAAATCCTTTAAGTCCTGCAAGCTCAAGGTTCGGATTTGTTGTTCAGGCACATCCAACAGATGCTCAATTGGATTGAGATCTGGGGAGTTTGGAGGTGCAGGCAACATCTTAATCTCTTTGTCATGTTCCACAAACCATTCTTGACAATTTTTGCAGTGTGGCAAGGTGCATTACCCTGCTGAAAGAGGCCGCAGCCATCAGGGAACACGATTGACATTAAGGAGTGTATGCAGACTGCAACAACTTCTAGGTAGGTGATACATGTAAAATAAACATCCACATTAATGCCAGGACCCACAGTTTTCCAGCAGAACATTGCCAGAGTATAACTCTTCTTCTCATAGTGTATCCTGCTGACATCTTTTCCCCAGATTCATCAGACCTGTCAACCTTCTTTCCTTGCTCCATGGACCATATCTGATGTTTCCATCCCCATTGAAGGTGCTTTCAGTTGTGAATAGGGATCATCATGGGCACTCTGACCAGTTTGTGGCAACACATCCCGTACACAGAAAACTGTGATGCACTTTATGTTCTGGCACCTTTCTATTATGACTAGTATTGTATTAAGTAATTTAGCTGTTTGAACTACAGTAGCTCTTCTGTGTGATCTGACCTGTCAGGCTAGCCTTCACTCTCCAGGGGCGTCAATGAGCCTTGAGCTCCCATGACATCGGATAACTGATTGTCCTTTCTTGCACCACTTTTAGTTGGTACTAACCACTGCATACCTGGAACACCCCAATAGACTTTCCATTTTGGAGATGCTCTGACATATGAAATTTAAAAACTGACTGTTCACATGGTGACTAATATATCCCACCCCTTAACAGGAGCCATTGTAATGATATAATCACCTGTCAGTGGTTTTTAATCTGGTGACTGATCAGTGTATACTCATTGCTAAAACGAATCCACAATTGTTTTGCTCCTAATGGCTACTTAACCAAAAGAGCATGGAGGTGAGCCCAATGGCGAGTTATACCCCTGCATTTGAGCAACATTTTGAACTTGACCTGCTTCTGATGCTGGTCTAGTCTGGTTGAACCTTATTACTAAATATTGCGGAATACTGATTCTGCTTCAGCCAACATTCACTTCAGATCCCAAGCTGTATGGATCAAGAATTTGTTCTGGACATGTTCCATATTAAATAGAATGACCTGTTTTAAAATCCTTAAAGGAGTGTTGGCTGAGAAGTACGATGGAGGGTGATTGACTTTTCTAATACAATTAATAATGAGGTGCCTTTTAATTGTCTATGAACTAGCCACACTTGTTTTATGTCTCTTTGGTTGCAAAGGAGATGGAAATGGGAAAAAGTCTGAACTGGCTAAAGACAGTTGTCACTGATCTCCAGAGACACCACTAAGTTTTGGACATGGCTGGGTGAAAGTATGTCATTTCCCTTCCCTTCCCCTGCAAAGATTACACAAATGAAAGGTCTTCAATGGAATGTAATTATTTGTTTTTAAAGCCATTCATATAGGTAAAAGTAATTAAATACTTTGGGGACTCTGAGTTAATTTAAGAACGTATTCGTGTTTATGTATAGAAAAATCCATCCAAGATCAAATTAATTTATGAAGATTACTTTCTGCCTTAGAGACGTTATATGCT